AAAACTATGGGAGGAATACTCTGGCATTCCTACTCCATCTTTTATTCCCCCTGGGAAGAGTGACTCATGGGCTTGCAGACTGAGAGAAGAAACTGGCTCCCTGCGGTTCAGCCCAGTCTCCTTAATCCAGCTTTGGAGAATCCAGGGGGAACTTCCTGATGGAGGTGATGGCTAAGCCCCAAAGGATGAGAAGAAAAGAGGGGAGGGGTGATTGGGAGTATTTGGGGGAGGTAACACTCAGGGCAGAAGGAACAGCATGTGGAAATCCCTGGACGCAGAAGAAAACATGGTCCTTTGGGAGAACGGCAAGAAGTTCTGTATGGCTGGATTTGTAGAGGGTGAGTGAACAGGAGCTAAAATATGAGGCTGGCAAAGGAACCAGATCATGAAGGGCCTTATGTGCCAAACTATGGAGCCTAGGTTTTATCCTGAGGGCATTGAGAGGGATAGAAAGGTTTAACTGGAAGAGTGAAGATACTTCATTTCTGATAGATCCATCTTTCTGCAGGGTGGAAAATAGTCAGGAGGAGGGCTGGAAGTTCCAGCTCTCTCTGAAATTGTGAGAAGAGGAAACAAGGGTCCTTGGCAGTGCCAGAAACCTTTGTCTGGGCCTTCCAGATCCAATTGTCCTGGGCCCTGGATCTGAGCTCCTTTCAGAGGGCCCTCTTCATACAATCTCCATCCCAGTTCTGTTAACCACTCATTCTCTCTCCCCTACAGGTGTGGGTGGGCACAGAGTCCCAGGGATTCTGTGCAATTCCTTGTAGTTTCTTTACGCCCTGCCCACGTATTTGTAAACAACCCGTTATTAAAAAACTCCATAAATGATCCTCATTTGAGTGTGCCAGCTGGTTCCTGCTGAGCCCCTCATGGTTCCACCCCCGCCCCCTAAATAAGGAGAAAGCAAGCATAAGTGTCACGGGAAAGGGATGGGACCATCTTCCTAAGGATTATGGCTTGAGAAGTTTGCTGTTTAGGAAAGATAACAGACTTACTGAGATAGTGGTTGTCTTTTAATAGCCCTACTGTTTGCTCGGGAATGATGCTGCTCACTTAAAAAGAAAAGAAAAATCACCGGAAGTCCCACCTCCCAGAAACAAATGTTATTAAATGTTTGCTGGCTATCCTCCATATTTCTCGACACATATATACTCATACAGATATGTTCAATTTTGAGTGACTCATACTCCAAATGCTGTGTCAAACCTACTTTTTCTCATTCATCCATAAGCCTCAAGTTTTGAGCTGCCTGTGGAAGAATCCAAGTAGATGTGTCCAGAAATAAATTGAATATAACAACCTAGAGTTTAAGAGACTTGGTCTTGGGGCCACCATCGGAGAGGTGGCCACGAAAGCCTGGGGAGGCAGAGGATCCCACGAGGTGGAGGGTAGGAGGGGGAAGAAGCAAGGGCCAGCACAGAGCCACTTGGACTCAAACACTGACAGGCAAGAGAAACCGGAGGAAACAGATAAGGAGGTAGGAGGAGCGGAGGACTTCTTGGCCTTCGAGAAAGAGGAGGGGTCAACAGTGAAGAAGGCCACCTCCGGGTCAAATAAGATAAGGGCTTTGGATTTAGCAATACAGGGTGGCTGGTGGCCTGGATAAGAGTGATTTTAGCCAAGTAGTGGAGTGGAAGCCACACTGAGGAAGAGCTGAGGAGAAAATGGAGGTAATCTGCTTGCCCTCCCCACTTGCTGGCCCCTCGTCCCTCATCAGGGCTTCTCAAACTCTGCTGTGTGGATGAATCACCTGGGCATATTGTCGTATTGCAGATCTGATTCCGTGGGTCTGGGGTGGGACCTGTATTTCTAACAAGCACCAAGGTAATGTGGATACCACTGAACCAAACTTGAAGTAGCAAGGGGCTAGATTAGGTTGCCCAGTGACAATGCCCAGTCTTGATACATTCACACAGGACTTTACCAAAGACACGTAAGCATGCAGAGATGAGAATGAGTTCTTAAGGGTCCAAGATTATTATTCACATCAGAAAAGTACTAAAAAGGAAAACTAGAGGAAGTTTTTGTTCTTGTATGTCTGGTCCTTTCCTGTGTATACACCTTGCTCGTGAAAGTCCCTCCATTTGGGTCACTTAAAAGTGTTTCTTAAGTTCCAAACTTATAAGGATTTTTTAGTTATCTTTTAGTTACTATTTCTACTTTAATTGCATTAGGTTCAAGAACATGCTCTCCAAGATTACAGTCCTCTGAAAATTGTTGATATTTGTTTTATGACTGAGAACATGCTCAATTTTTGTAAATGTTCCATGAGTGCTTGAAAACAACATATTCTACTATTGTTGGGTGCAGTATTTATGTCTCTTAGGTCAAATTTAATAACTGGGGGGCGCCTGGGTGGCTCAGTCGGTTAAGTGTCCGACTCTTGATTTCAGCTCAGGTCATGATCTCAGGGTGGTGAGATTGAGCCCCGAGTTGGGCTTCATAAGCTGGGCTTGGAGCCTGCTTAAGATTCTCTCTCTCCCTCTCCCTCTGCTGCCCCCCCCCAGCTCCCCCCCATGCACGTGCATGCGGGCGTGTGCTCTTACTCAAAAAAAATTTATTAACTGGGTTGATGGGCTTCATATTCTATCAATTACTAAAAAAAAATGTGTTAAAATCTGACTGGAAAGCCTTTCTTCCCCATCTCTCCTATGTGCCCAGGCCTCCATCCAACAACTAGGGATTCATGGTGACCAAAATCTGATGTAGTCTCTGCAGACTCAGTTTCTGCCCTGATGGAGCTGATAGCCTAAGATTTACCTAATCACCAGCATCTCCCCACCCCCCTCAGATCTGGAAGTATTTCTCCCTCCTCTGAGCTCTTAAGGCCTTCACTGCCTGGGTAACTAATTTGAAATGTACATAATCTGTTTTCATTGCAATTATTTGTGTTCATAATTTATTCCCCTGTCAGCTCTTAGATTCCAGATGGGCAAAGATTATCCTATTTTTTATATAACTGCTCTATCGAAATATAATATTTGACAAACTATAAAATTCACTCTTGTAAAATGCATCATTTAGTGAGAGACTATCTTATTTAACTTGGCATCCTCTGTAGCAGTGGTTCTCTACTTTGGCTGCACATTGGAATCACCCAGAGAGCTTTAAAAAAAAAAATACTGCTACCTGCTTCTTGCCCTCAGCGGTTCTGACTTAATTGGTTTGGGGTGCAGCCTGGACATCAGAATTTTTAAAAGCCCCAAAGTGATTTTATTTTTTTTTAAAGATTTTATTTATTTGTTTGACAGAGAGAGACACAGCAAGAGAGGGAATTCACAAGCAGGGGGAGTGGGAGAGGGAGAAGCAGGCTTCCTGCTGAGCAGGGAGCCCAATGTGGGGCTCGATCCCAGGACCCTGGGATCTTAACCTGAGCCGAAGTCAGACACTTAACGACTGAGCCACCCAGCGCCCCCCTAAAGTGATTTTAACTTGTAGCCAGTGTTGCCCTATAATGCTTTGCACATAACTGGCGCCAAATAATTGTTTGTCCTAGTTTCTAATATGAGTTAGCCCTAGTTTCTAATATCCAGCTAATTAACTCACTCAGAACTACTTCCCTGTCTCAGCTCTTATAATGATCTGCCCCACTGGATGTGAAAGGAAGACTAGGAGACAAAAGTATTTAGAAAAGATAAGTTTACTTGCAAAGATGTGCCGACTTCACTAGGATGGGATCACTGAGTAAAAATTACAACAGATATTTAAAAGAAAAAATGTAAAGGGAAGATTACCATAGTTTACGTTTGTGTCTTAAGCACTGATGTTATGCTCACATGGGAAGATATGTCACATATCCCCAAATTTCTGTATTCAAAAGTTAGTGATAAAATGGTTTTCATTAGGGAATTGGTAATCTATGGGAAAAGCCCGAAATTTCATTCACTTTGGCCACCTGATGTAAAAGTCAGTTACTTTATCTCGGGTTCAAAGTGTCTTACTTTGTTTTTTCTTCCTGTGGGACTTGTACACTCTTAAAGTGATGGCCGTGCACCATCATTTTTGTTTCCAAGGCTGTGAGCTGCATGAAGTCAGGGACCAGTCTCATCTCATACATATGGTATCCCCGTGCTGGCACATGATAAGTGTTCAATAAATATTGATGTAATAAATATGTTTTAACTGGATAGAGAGCTGCACAAGTTTCCCGTTTTGATACTTTTTGCAATTCTTAATTGCAGCACTCTGAACTGGGCACTCCCTCATCTACCTGGGCTACCACAAACTCAAAAGGGGTTTTACTTCCACATAAATGGTAGTTGAGGATCGGGGGTCCAAGAACGTATGAGCCTCACGGTGAGCAGCAAGGATGGTCACCCCCGGATGAATGAATACAAAATTCTCATGGCTGAGAGCGGTCCGTCAGCGAGGCCGGTCATCCGGCCAGTCCTGTAACACCACTTAACACCTGCCATTGACTCCTCCCCACTGCCAGATCCCAAAGGTTCGCGTGGGCATTCGGAACCGCGCTCCCTAGTCCGCCGCAGCAGGATTCCCCCCTCCCCAAGCGGGTCACGCCCCAGGGCGCGATGCAGAACGACTGAGGCATCAAAAAAACAAAGTAAAACCAGTCGCACCAAGGAGAGGCAGCGTTATTTAGGCAGCCAGCTACTCCCCCAGAGCCTCCACCCTGTCCCCTGGGCCCCGCGCCGGGCGCTCAGACGGTGCCGGGCTCCAAGCGCCCCAGCTCCCTCCACGTGTCCTGTCTTCCCAGCAGCCTCCTCTGCAGCCTCGGGAAGAAAACCTCCTGACAACTCGCGGTCTGCGGACTACGACTCCCAGCAGGCACCGCGCCGCTTCGCTCTCCACCCCCTCCACAAGACACGCAGACGCTCTGGGCTCCGTCAACAGACCTGACTGGCGACGACCGTGTGCAGTTCCTTATGGGATTTGTAGTTTTTCTGGAGCCAGCTGGGCCGTCAGTCAAAGGGACGACAACTACAAGTCTCAGCTGCCCCAGCGTGACGGACCCGGTCACGTGGCAGGGGGCCGACCGGGCGTGCGTGCCGCCGTTGATCCGGTGCTGCAGTGAGGAGGTGGTTCTCGCCCGTGTTGTGTGTGTGTGTGAGTGAGAGAGCGAGTGAGTGAGTGAGTGAGTGAGTGTGTGTGTGGGGGGACTCGGCTTGTTGTTGTCGGTGACTTCCCCCTCCCCTCCACCCCTCCCCCCTTCCCCGCCGCCGCTGCAGTGGCCGCTCCCTGGGCCGTAGGAAATGAGCGATAACGATGACATCGAGGTGGAGAGCGACGTGAGTCCCGGGGCTTCTTCCTTCCCGTGCGGGTTGTCAGGCGGGGACAGCGGCCGGGGCTCTCAGCGGGGCGACGGCGGCAGGGGGCCGGGCAGCCGCCTCCTCCTTCCCCTTCCCCCCCCCCCCCCGGGCTGGGACCGCCTCCGTCGCGCTCCCGGCTCGCTCCCCTCCGGGCTCCTAGCCGGAGCGGCCTTCTGGGACTGGAGGTGGGGTGGAGACACGCGGCCTTTGGGACCCCCACCTCCCCCGGTGGAGGAAGGTGCTGCGGCCTCCGGCTCCCACCCTATCCCGCTCAGGATCCAGGGGACTGGGACGGGATGCGCCCGGGTTCCCATTGTCCGGATCCCGGGGAAGGGGACGACGCTCAGGACCTGCCCCCTCGGTTTGCTATCACCCTCTTCCCGTGACCCGCGGATCCTGGGGGGTTGAAGGAGGGCGGAGAGGGGACGGGAGTGCCCAGATGCCCCGAGCTGGGTGCGAGGGGAGGAGACAGTGCTCTGAACCCCCTCCGGCCAGAGTCGGATCCCGGAAGGAGGGGCGGCGCTCGGGACCCCCCTGCCCGGCTACCGGATCCCGCTGGGGGGAAGGGGGCGTGGGGTGGGGAGGGAGGGAGGGGGGTCGGGCTGACTCCCCACCCGCCGCTTCCTCCGCCGCCGGCATTTTCTTTCTTATTATTGAATGTGAAGTGTAAAAATAACTTCTATATTTTCTATTTTTTTCTCTCTTATTCCAGGAAGAGCAACCGAGGTTTCAATCTGCGGTACGTCTCCTACTCTCCATTTCATTTTCATTTCCGTTCAGTTCTAGTTCTTTTTGGGGTCAGAGAGAAAAAGAGATTGTTCTATTATTTTTAATACTGTAGTAAACTCTCCTGTTAACCGCTAAGGTGAGGCGGGGCCTTGTTTGGGGGTTCTAGGTGGGGGGCGGGTTTGCAAATCTCCTCATTCTAGACTCTCAGGTGATAAGTTTCAGTGACTGTAGGTGAGTGAAAGGTGTTGTTTGCAAAGAAATGAATCGTTCCGTAGTTTCCAGGTGGGGGATCTAGCTGTCACTATGTAAGTGTAAAATGAGAAGTATCATTCTGAAGTAAACTGTTACTTCGGGGCAGAGTAGTCAGATTTACTTTGGAACAAGCAGGCTCTAGACCATATATGCATAGTTGTGTGAAGCTGAAGCCACATGCAAAAAATCATCTTTAACCAAAAGTTAGGTGGTCATGTGACTGCTGTAGACCTATAGAATCTAGCACAACCTGGTATTATTCTAATGCAGAAATTAGAAATGTAGGGGAACCAAAGGTTGAATATGAAAAGTGTCACAAACGGCTTATTCTGGTCTGCCTATTTGAGTTGAAGGAGAGGTATAAAAAAAATAGAAAAATTGTTGAGGAGAAGTGGCATCACAGAGATAGATTTGCTAAAAGGTGGTGGTTGAGACCATTCAGTGTTATTGGTAATTTCTCAGGGTTTTGATATTAATGTTCTCAGTAGATGGTTCTGTGGATTTAGATAGACACTAATCTCATTCCTTTCCAGTCTGGGACAGTACTGTGAGTGTTCCATGAATAGATTAGAGAAAGAAAAAAAGGATAGACACAAAATAAATCAGAGTCAGAGAGAGGAAGAGAAGTACATCAGAGTGTCTAACATTTGACAGATGGGAACAGTACGAAGTTTATAGAATGGGGGTCAAAAATTCAGATGCCTCTGGGGGGCCCAGGCAGTAAGATCGTCAGGAATAAAGTAAAGAGCAGAGGTGAGGACTGGGTTCTGGATTGCACATGTCTCTTCTGAAAAGGCAGCCACCAAACTCCAGTGGGTTGTTATGTGGGAGTAAGGGCTCACTGTTGCCAGATCTTCCTATTTTTAAAGAAAGTTTTAGAAATCCAGATTTTTATGTTATTTTTCTGATTTTTGAAATCATGTGTGGGACAACCAAGTTGTTTGGGAACTTGTTAGAATATGAAGGATGCCACTGTGATACCTTTGATAAAAGCAAGTCTTCGTCCTTGTACCTGCTCTTCATTAGAGCAAGCAAAGTTTCTGCAGGTTGTCCAAGCAGATAGGCATTAAGAAAAAATATTGTTTATTGAGAGCTGATATTTTCTGTAAAATCTGGAGTATGCAGTTATAGAAGGTTTTAAAAATTATCCCTGGGTAATAGTCACTAAAAAGAGTTTGTTGTGTTTTATTTTTCCTTGAAATATTGTCAGACGCTTACCTTTACGCATGTATATGGAAATTCAGTTCTTTTTTCTAGTCACTACGATCCTTAATAATGTGAACGTGGAGTTTCATGTTTGGGATCCAGTCTATTTAAAACACTTCCCCCCCACCCAAGTCTCCGGTTATAAAATGTGCCCCAGGGCTTGATCAGGGTTGGAGGATAGGGATTGGTCAGGCCTCCTTTGCAGAATTATTATTTGACTTGGAATTACATTGGCTTTCCAGTGAGAGAAAGTTTTCTTTGTGGAAGTTTGGCTTACAGTTCTTGAAAGCCTTATGCTTTTCAAAATATCCATCCACATGGATATTGATGTAAATTGCTTTATTATTAAAATGTTTCCACTCTCCTAGAATGCTAATGTGATTGTTTTTTCTAGATATTTTTAGTTTGGTGTGAAGGTGCCTAGGATTTTTCTCTTTGATTTTGGGAGGTGGGCAGTGGGAGTGGATTTGACCCTCTGTTTTTAATTTGACACATCTACTTGCTGAAACTTTTAAATATTATCTGGCACAAAATAATCACAATAGCATGGAGAGAAGAAGCAATAGATAAATTTTATAGCATATCAGACAGTTACCGTGAACCCTACTTAGGGTAAAAAGGATTTCAGGTTTTTTCCTCCATGAATACACCAGTTTATTTCCTGCTATTTAGTATAGATAATAAATATATTTTTAAAAATTTGTTGGAAACTATTCTTAAGCTTGTATTAGTTCAGAAAAGGCTGTGGACTGTGAACAACCAAAGATTTAGGGCTATAGAAAACCTTGTAAAAAGTTATTTGGAAAAGGTTCTGTGGGTCCTGATGGAAAAAGAGGCCCTCATTTATGTTTTATAATGTCACTACAGTAGGCACAGCCTTGCTGTGTGGGAAACCTAAGATTCTCAGCAAGGACAGTTAGGAAGTGAGGCTAACTATAACAGAAAGTGAAACTGACGAATATTGTTTTCTGTCGCCTCAGTGCAAACGGAAAACATCTTCTCTAGTGACCAATAAGCTTTGTTGAAGGAAATAATCCCAAACAATATTTTTATTACTAAATTTTATACACCTCACAATTCCATCGATGCTATCTTACTACTTTTTGGAGGGAAGAGGTTACGTTTTAAAGATCATTTTCTGGGACAGCTATGTTTCACACAAAGTGATCCTTTGGTTTTGTTTCTGTTTGGGAATTTCCTTTTGGGAAAAATGAAAGTATATGAGAAATGTAGGGTCACTGTGTTAGGAGGGAAACCCAAAGCCTTTTTCAGCATCTTACCCTCCATTATCAGCTGAATATGTTGCAGTTACAGTGTATGTTAGGGGGTGTAAAAACAGATTTGTGCAGTTTCGCTTGACCTTCCTCATATGAAATATTTTTAACTTCTCAGCACTCTTTGCTTCTTTAAGAATTGTAATCTGTTTAGGGGCGCCTGGGTGGCTCAGATGGTTAAGCATCTGCCTTCGGCTCAGGTCATGATCCCAGGGTCCTGGGATCAAGCCCCACATCGGGCTCCCTGCTCAGTGCAGAGCCTGCTTCTCCCTCTCCCTCTGCCATTCCCTCCACTTGTGCTCTCTGGCTCTATCTCTCTGTCAAATAAATAAATAAAATCTTTTTTAAAAAGGGGGGATTGTAATCTATTTAGAAGGGAATGAGCTTGGTCGCCTTTGAGATTGGAATTTACTCAGGAAGCGACTGTTTTACCTGGAATTCGTTGCGTCTCAGAAGTGCTGCACGCTGCGTGTACTTTGTGTGTGCTTCAGAATGTCGTCAGTGATGCAGAAATGCCAGTGTTGCTTCCTAAATATGCCTGTTTGTTAGAGGAAAAGGTGATCTTACGTTTTAAAGTTCTTTTTCAAGATGCCCGTAATGGGGAAATAGTTGATCATGGAATCCAGCGTGGTTTTCAATTAAAATTTCATGACCAAGACATTTTTACTCTCTTAAATGGCTATAGTTTGATAGCATATTTGGATCATAGCATTTCCAAGTTCTTTCAGGCACCAGATGATACTAAAAAAATAAATAAGCCTCAAAAACACGTATATTTAGTAGATGTTAGAAATACCTAGCAGGCAGTCAGCTTCCAGCAGGACAGGTGTTGGAAGGTTGAAATTTATATCTTTTAAGGACCTTCGTGAGTTTCTCATCCTAGCTGCCTGTTATTTCATGTTGCTTAAGTTGCTTAGAAATCCAGCCTCGTTTATCCTATCTGCTTGCCATCAGAAGAAATAAATAGGTCTTTTCTGATGAGAATTTTGAACTTGTGTATTTTCCGTGTTTGTGTTTAATAAGAACAGCTTATTAATAATAAGCAACACTCTCCTCTAAAATGCAATCTTTGAAATTCTTTAAGGCAGTGTTTAGTGGGCAACTCCAATTCAGTATAGGCTGAGCATTTTTTATATGGAAATCAAGAAGATTGCTCCTTATAGATGGGGTTAGATGTCAAGTAGTCTGAAAGAAATAACACTGTTCTGGAGAACCTTGTGCATCCTTGAATAATGGAGCATTTATTTCCCCATGCTAGTTGCCTACCTAGAACTTGCAGGAAACGAGCTGCTAACTGATATAATGCCTTGAATGAAGATGCATTCTCTATGCAGTAAGTTGGAAGGAAATAATTTAAAGAGATTCCCCCCAATTTTGAACAGCTTGAATGACCTCCTGCTGGTTTAGCAACTTCTTGGCTAACAAAATAATGTTTGATTTCAACATATAACAACACTTAAGATATACGTTGCTTGTTAGTGTCAGAGGTGGACAAGTTGTGGGTGAAGATTTGTATTCTGGCTGCCAGTGGAAAGTTTGGTGGAAATAAAATTGAGAGGCTGAGTAAAAACCTTGGCAGAGACGTCAAAGCTGGAAGCGATTTGGTGCTGGAGTTCCTGTTGAGCATCTGTGAGCCACTCTTGAGTATCACACAGCCCTTTAGGATTTCTCTTAGCTTGGGATGCCCTGAAGGAAGGGTTTTTTGGCAGAAACTGCAGATTGAGTAAAGTTGAAGGGTAGCAGCATCCAGCCACTGCTCCTATAGGATGTAAGGAGGGAGGTATTTGGGGGCCTGCTTTTGTTTGGTACCACTTGTTTTCATTATCAAACATCTTTCTCAGTACAGGCGACAGAAATTTCTGAGTTGAGCTTTGTTTAAGACACACAATTATTTGACCCTTCCTCCATCCCCCCCTTTTTTTTTAACTAGTTTTGAGTTTGTGGGAGGATCTCAGCTGCTTTACACTGGAAGTCTTTACCCTGTGTTTCATTCTCAACTCTGAAATCTTGGCCCTTTCGAAAAGGGTTGCCAGCAAGTGAAGACCGTTAACAAAGCAGTGATAAGCCTGGCAACTGGCCCTCCATTTGGATGATTTGGAGTGGGGGACAGAGGAGCATTATTATCAGGCTGGATGGATCTCTGTGGTTTGGAAATGTTTCCCGAACAGAATTCTCAGCTTTGTGTAAAGGTTTTTCATCTGCTCTTTCAAGCCACTAGAGGTATCATTTAGTGTAGAGTTGCCTGGAGTTAGGCATGTTAGTTCTACATATTTTCAACTTGCTCTTTCAAATGAGGCCTAGGGAGGAGAAAATACATCATTGCCATTGTCTCTGAGAGCTTTGAAGTTGAGTCTGGTTAAGAGTAGCAGCTTGGGGATGGACATGGCAGCAGGGATTGGTCTAAGATTCTACTCTTCTGCTAGTTAAATTGGGCCTGGAACCACCACAGAAATTCCACCCACTACTTCGAGAAGAACAGTCCCCAGCCCAGGCTTTCTACCAGGCAGTGGACTGCTGCCTTCCTTGTTGAGCCAACTTCTCAAACTTGGCTGGCTCCCCAGATGAGAAGCCAAGATTTCTGCTAATGGTCCACAGCCAAGTTCACTTAACAATCCTCTAACCAAAAGACTTGTCCGTTTGAGTCCTTTCAGGGCTCAGTGAATGGGAAGAGGGTAGTGCATTGTGGGGATGATTTGGGTGTTAGATTATACCTAGCTCCACCCCTCTAGTGCAGGCGTGAGTGAAACCATGTCCAACTTGATTCTAACCTTTTGAGATTTGCAGGACTCTCCCAGAAAGAAAACAGACAATTAGGATTTTATTTGTATCAACAAGAGGAATTGTGGGTAACTCTGCTGTCCCTGCTTCTGTGCACAGCTTTTAAGCCGGGAGGAGGGCCAGGAATCAGGGTGATTTAGTAGACGAGTATCTTGGGCTGTTGCTGGAGACCAAAGCTGGGCAATTAATTTGTATATAAATAAACCATCCTGGGAGTATGTAGCAAATGATGGAGAGGGAGGTAGATGCCAAATGCCATCTCCACCTTCTCAGTGCTTTAGGTATAGTCCAGGTAAGAGCTCAGCCCACCTTACCTGTGTAGGTGACTAGAGGGGACAGTAAGTTAGGAAAGGACTTAAATATGCTTAATTCCTTCGAGTTATTTCATACTGCTGTCAGAAGGCGTCAGCATTCTTGTTCTAATGCTGTATGATACAGCGTATGTCCCTCTAGCCTCAGGTTATATCTGGTTTCCAAACTTGATCATTCCCTCAGTTTTCCCATAAATTCCATGCGTCACTGAGTTCAGCAAACACTTTACCATGAATTCAGACTTAGCAAGATTGGGAGGGTTTTAGAAGTGCCCAGGCATCTGCCCTCAAAATGAGTTGCTATGCTATGTAGAATCATGGCCTCAATGCGAACCAGGTGTCCAGTTCACCAGAGCTGTAGGTGAGGTGTTGTGCTTGAGAGACCAGGTGGTGACTTCAGATACCACAGCTGCTCCCAGTCGCCTTTTCCTCTCTAATGTCTCAGACTTAGGATTAGATAAGAGAATTTCAGGTCCTTTCATTCCCACAACTCTTGTCTTTATAAATTTTTGTCTGTACATCTTGTTCAAGGATTCATTTGAGGCATTCTTGTGCTAAGCCAAGTTATTTACTCTTGTTGCTTCATATCTAAAATTCCTGGTGCTCGGGGTAGGTTAAACTACCTGAGCTTTCCATATACAGACTTGCTCTCTGGGTTAGCTCAGTGCAGCCTTGTGTATTCAGGGTAAATTCTCAGAGTATATTATTTTCCATAATTCCCAAAGTGTGGATGTGTAAAAGTTCTTGCTTTAGACTAAGTTAAGCATCTGTGTTCCATTTGGAGGGAATGCCCTTTTTTTCGGGACTGCGGAAGCTCTCTTGCAGTGCCCTCCAGCACTCTATGTTTTGCCTGAAGCCAGAGTATTTTGCCATTGCCAGTCTTCGTCCCTCTCCAGCTGATAGTTCTTTGTGATGCTAAGCAGGACAGGATAAAGACTTTGGTCCATGGGTATTTAGATACTGCCAAATAAACTTGACCTGCCACAGGTGCCTGAGGAAATTTATTCAGAGCATGTGGGTGTCAAATGATTTGCTGTCTAAGAACAACCTTTCTGGCATAGTGTGTGTGAGGGGAAGCCCTTGGCAGGATAGCACCATGGATCCACTTTAAAAAACAGGAACTCAGAATGGTGTCTTTATCAGCTCTGTTATGATCTCAGATTCACGGCATTTGTGCTTTCTAGAGGTTTTAGTTTCTATTGTAGAATTTGGTGAGCAGGTCTTAAATTAGTCCCTTTTAGCAAGCTGGAGACCAGACTCATGGTGATGGGTTTCACATGGAAAGAAACACTGCACCAGTGACCTTACTCCTTTCCTGGGCACCCACCATGGGGAATCTCTTACAGTGGAGGTGATCACATTTTATAGAGGGGCCCCCTAGCGCTTTTCCCTGGCCACTTCCCAACCATGGACTGGCAGCTGTTCTGTCACATAAGTAAGCTGTGGGGGAAGACTGATGTTGCAGGAGAGTTACACTTTGTCCCCGTGAATAACTTTTATTTTACTTATGCATGAGCTGGATGCATCGAGCTACTTTGGATGTTCCTGTCGCAAGCCTTGCTCACCCCTTTCTCCCCCTTTAGCAGATCCTAATTCTGGAGACTCCTAACTGCCCACCTCGACAAATCCTTCCCAGCCCAATCGCCAGGGACAGCGCTGACAGCATATACTTCCAGGCTATTCCCCACCCACCTATACCAAGCAAAAGGAATGACATTGCTAATGTGCTCTTTCTCCCATTCTTCTAGGCTGACAAACGGGCTCATCATAATGCACTGGAACGAAAACGTAGGGACCACATCAAAGACAGCTTTCACAGTTTGCGGGACTCTGTCCCATCACTCCAAGGAGAGAAGGTGAGTTTATTGAGAAAGCTGATGGCCACCACTAACTTGAAACTTGCTGGGGGGCTTACCAGGGCACTCACCTGTCTGGAAAGAAATGGAAGCAGAGAGAGATATTCCAGTTATGTGATTTCCTTCATTGTTGATTCTTTGGGGTATCGTTACACACCTACTCCGTTCTTAACAAATAATGACAGATGGGATGGAGCTGCTCATAAGACATTATAAGACATAGTAGGAGTTATCCTTTAAAATTAGAATTAGTTATAATAAATCACTCATTCACGAAATGATTATAACTCCACAGTACAGAGAATAGCCCATAGAAGTTTGGGATAATCCGAAGGATTTCTGAAGTCAGTGATTCCCTAGTCCTCCATGAGAATTTCTTTCGTATGGTTCAAAGTTAGTACTTATTTTAAATGGGACCTCTCAGGGAAGGTATGTGAACCAGCCTGGACACCAGTGATCTTCCAGTTCCAACAGCTGTTATTTCAAGGCATACAAAGAGCATTTTAAGCTTTGGGACAAAAGACTTAAGGAAAGATACATGTTCATGAAATGGAGGGAAAAAAATAACTGGTCTTCTGCTTCCCTCCACCCCACTGATGGCCTTCCAGAAACTAATGTTTTCCCTGGAGAGGTAGGCACCAGCTGTTTCTACATTTGAAAAACAAAGTTGGAAGCTTTGAGTAAAAAGCCTATGGGTTAGGGTCACTTGGAATTTGGAGAAAACATCTGTTTGCACAGTTAGTTATATCCTTAACACAGAATGTAGTCAGCTGCTCTCCGCAGCAGTTCAGTGATATGAATGGCAGACTGGGAAGAGGACCTGTGCTTTTTTGTTCAATGGTCCAGTGTTTTAAAAAGCAGCTATCTTAAGAAAAACCATCGCTCTCAGGTACGCTTTGAATGAGTCTCTTGATTTAGCTCTGTGGGTGGGGGGTCCTGAGTTTGGTTATCCAGAGTCAAATTTAGAACCATTATAGTTTCACTTTGTTTATACTGTCGCTCTGGTCAATCATGTGCTTTATACCTTATCAAAGGTGTGGCTTTCTATGTGGCTGAAGCATGGAGTAGGTCTGACCTTCATGAAAAAAGCAAAACAGGCCATGTGAATACCAAGTATTGCAAAATCAGAATTTGCCATGGGTTAGGCCTACTTAGTGTTGACTTGGTTTTGTGGCCTTGAACTAAGGTGCTTACCTAGAATAACAACATTCCTGGGCACAACACTCTCAGCAGCACAGGAAATCTTTATGATAGAGAGACAGACTCATCCTTTTAGTCAGAGGATACACGTGCAAAGGATTATTTATCTCTTGTGCTTGTCTGAACTGTTGACAGTGCTTATTCATATGCCATGGTATCAGTTAAAACGGCTTTGGTGAACTAAATGGACAGAGCTCCCTTAAGTGTCACAGCTAACCAGGAGTGGCACCAAGGCAGTGTTTCCCAAGAGGTGGCCTGTGGCTCAGTCCCTTCAGATTCACTACTGACTGCCATTCTGGAGGCAGGCCTGGGGATTTAGGCATTCTTAAGTTTGAGAACACTTTGGGAGAAGCTGGTCATAGGAGCTTAACTAAAGCTGGTCATAGGAGCTCAACTATACCTTCTCCTTTGTCCAGTGTATTTTGCATTGCCATAACATTCTTCTTTAAGTCCTTAAAATCATAGTATCCTGAATCCCTTTGTCTCCTTTCTTCAAGAAAGTTGACACTTGAAATTTGGTAGCCTTACAAACTGAATAGTTTGTCATTCATTGTGGCCTATTCATTAATTCAGTCACTCCATTCATCAGATGTTTATTGAGGGTCTTCTGCATGCTAGGAACTGTTCTAGATACTAGGGAAACAGGGAGCAAAACACACAAGCAGAGGCTCTTATTCTGGTGAGGAAAAGATAGAAAGTGACCTAATAACGTAAAAAATTGTAGCATGTTAGGTAAGTGCTATGGAGAAAATTGAACAGGGAGGGAAGGGTTGCAGTTTTTTGGTTTTTTTTTTAAGATTTTATTATTTATTTGAGACACACAGAGAGAGCACGAGCAGGGGGAGAGGCAGGCAGAGGGAGAGGGAGAAGCAGGCTTCCCCCTGAGCCAGGAGCCTGACATGGGGCTCAATCCCAGGACCCCAGGATCAAAACCTGAGCCAAAGGCAGACGCTTAACTGACTGAGCCATCCAGGCGCCCCAAGGGTTGCAGTTTTCAGTAGGGCAGACAAAACTCACTGGCGAGGCAACATTTGAACAAAGGTTTGAAGGAAGTGAAAGGAAGAACCAGGTATCTGTCTGGTGGTAAGAATTCCAGGCCGAGGGAAGGCAAGTGTAATCGCCCAAAGGTGGGAACCTGGGAGCATTGCTGGGCCTGTCAAGAACAGAGGCCAGGGTGGCTGGGGTGGAATGAGTGAAGACTGTGGCAGAAAATGAGGTCAGAGAAGTAGCAAGACTAGGGGAGAGGAGTGGTCGAGGGGCCAGGTTATGTGGAGCCCATTAACAAAACCCTAGTGTGGGAATTGACCAGTTGGCCTTTCTGATCTCAGAATCCTGTTCTGTGTTATAATCCAGATATTTCACACTAGGCATGAGTAAAGTCACCATCAGCCCCTTCCCACCTGAATTCCACCATCTGCATGATTTTCCTTGTCTGCCAGCATCGTTTCACAGATGCTGGAGGGAGCCTAACAGAAAGAATACTTTATCTCTCAGTCTAACCAGTGCTCACTAAATGTTGTAATTTTTTAAAATTATGGTATTTGAACCAAAGGAAATTGGCTAATTCTTGATTTGTATTGCAGTAATTAAGGTTGCGACATTATGTAAATAATTGTGAGTTTGCGGGAGCTCAGATCCAATTCTTGCAGGGAAGGCCTCCAGTCTCTTTTGATTTGGGCATCTTTTAAGTTCCAGGTGACTTCTCATTTAATATTTGAATCACCTACCATACATGTCCTAAGCTTTTTGATTTTTAAAGCAAAACCAATACTGAGTGAATTGGAGCCTAACCAAGAGTGAGGGATACTTTTATTAAAAAAAAAAAAATAACTTTAAATGTAAGACCCAGACTCTATCCTGTTTTCTTTATTTTTATTATAACATAAATGTTACAAAAAGTGGTCACCTTTTGCGTAAGTAAAAAAAAAAATCCGTGATAACCAACATCTCTGTTGCAATGTAGAAGTAAGTACAACGGTTCTGTGAGGTTTTATAGTAATAGAATTGGACATTTGCTATTACTGCTGTTCCTGCTGTCATTACTGTAACATAGATGAGGAAGCAAGCTTGAGATCATGATCCCCATCCGTAGCTGGACAGGGACTAGAACTCAGGACTGCCGATTGCCAAGGTCAAGCTTTCTCCCACACTGGAGGGGTAAACAACTTGAAGATACTTGAAGAAATCTTGCTTCAATACTTATATCTTTATATTGGGAGCTCCCCTTAGGTAGAGCCAGTAATCTTGGCACTATGTCATACTGAGGCTATTATTACTAGAATACTCTCTCCTGAAGTGGCATATGTAGGTGACACTAAAAGTACAGATAGTTGAGGATCATTTAAAGTCTGCAAATTTTTCTGAGTCCACATAGCTTCTCTGAGAAATAGACCATTATAGTTGGGCGGTCCATTTGGGTTTTGCCATAGGTCCCAGTGTTAGCAAGTAGACTCTTGAACTCTATTGCTTGAATCTCCTATTTCCAACATAGTTCTTCCACTGGACATCCCATGGAGAAAGATGGGATGGAAATAGAACCATCAGCCAGTCAACCAGAGAAAGGGAGTAAGGTCAAGAACAACTGTTCTAAGGGTGCCTGGGTAGCTCAGTCGGTTAAGCATCTGCCTTCAGCTTAGGTCATGATCCCGGGTTCCTGGGATCGAGTCCCATGTCGGGTTCCCTGCTTAGTGGGGAGCCTGCCTCTCCCTCTCCCTCTGCCGCTCCCCCTGCTTGTTCTCTCTTTCTCTCAAATAAATAAATAACATCTTTAGAAAAAAAAGAACAACTGTTCTACAAGAAGACATTACTTTTTTTTTTTAACAGAATTCGTATTTGTGTTAAGGGTGCTAGGTTGGGTACTAGGGAGTGTTGCCCAATGTCTTGCTGGCACTGAGCTCATCCTGTTTATTCGGGTTCAAGACCTGGTGACCAGCCCATCAGTTTGCCTTCACATGGAGATGTAATTCTGCCTTCTGCTCCGTAAGTTAACCCCAGCGTCCAATCTCACTATATCCTTAGCATCATTGACTTTAGTGATAAAAGGTTCTATTGCAACATTGCCATTTGTAGCTGTACAGTGGTTTAGAGAAATTTCTCATCTTTTAAGTCTCTTCCTAAGTGCCTGTTTATCTTAAGTTAATTGCTCTCAGGCAGTTGTGCTATGGATTTCTCCTTTCTGGACAGAGCTGTGTTGAAAAGAGATAATATAGGGGTGCCTGGGTGGCTCAGTCGGTTAAGCAGTTAAGTCATGATCCCGGGATCCTGGGATCGAGCCCCACATCAGGCTCCCTGCTGAGCAGGGAGCCTGCTTCTCCCTCTCCCTCTGCCTGCTGCCCCTGCTCCACCCCGCCCCCCGCTTGTGTGTGCACTCTCTGTCTCTCACTCTCTCTCAAATAAATAAATAAAATGTTTTAAAAAAAATTTTTTAAATAATAAAAAGAGATCATATAACCTAAGATGAAAATAAAGAAAACCAGGGTTTCTTCTAGTGAGCATTAAGTTCAGAATTCCCTCCTTTTGGGTGAGAACATGAGTGCACTGCCCCAGTCAGCTCTTACTAAAGGCTCTGGCACGTGGCTGTGGAGAGCCACCAGAGGAAACCATGGGCTTACTCAGTCCTTGAACAAAACAACAGCCAACATGGTTGTGTGCACCTGCTTAATTAAGACCCAAGACCCATGTGAGTGCTGTAGAGGTTTAAAAGGTATAATAGACAGTTCTCCTCTTGAGGGTCTTGTTCTCTTGTTGGGAGAAAGAATTATACTTACCACTTAGCAATAATAAGATGACATGCTGAACAT